CAACAACAACAACAACAACAACAACAACATGTACATACAATTGCATTGCCTGACGCACTGCTAACTACTGCTTCTGCTGCCTTCATCTACATATATGTAGGTGCAGACAGCGGGGCATGTGGATGTGCGCCTGCAGTATGCACAAGTTCCCACTGGCATCATACTGGTAAGAGTGGACAAACCTGATTCATGCGATACGTCACTTCCTGTCGCCAGGCCCAGGCCCTCACTTGGCGTTACTAAAAGGAAGAAAGCCATTGAAGACGGTGTGAATGCCATACAAATTGCTATGCCTCGGTCAAAAGCAACAGCACCAACAACAACAACATCCTCATCAGCATCAGCATCAGAATCCAGCCCGCCTGTCATATTTCCACCACAATCCCACCACAAACCCACCTCATTACCTCTGCTCACTATGTGACAATCATGCAAGGCATACCTCAGTTGCTCTAAGTAGACATTCGGCACAACCATCCTCACGCGCAATGCAACCGACCAATCCATCCCAAATCACACAATGCCCATCTCCTCACTGCTCCACGCACCTGCCGTTGCCGCTGCCGCTGCCGCTGCTGCTGCTGCTGCTGCACCTGATGCCTCATCCGGCTGCCGGCTGCCGTCTGCACAACGATCATGCCCACCTCGGTGATCTGCAATAGCATCGCCAAGGCCGCCAGCGCCGCATGTGCGTGCCACGTACTCCTTACTGTGCCACATACATGAATGCCTAATGCTACTGCGCATGCTGTCCGCACAGGCAGGTCTACCAATGCCTGCCAATCATGACTGCTCTGCCACATGTCCCAATTCACATGCGCATCATGGACTGCGCAAAGCAACAACAACAACAACAACAACAACAACAACAACATGTACATACAATTGCATTGCCTGACGCACTGCTAACTACTGCTTCTACTGCCTTCATCTACATATATGTAGGTGCAGACAGCGGGGCATGTGGATGTGCGCCTGCAGTATGCACAAGTTCCCACTGGCATCATACTGGTAAGAGTGGACAAACCTGATTCATGCGATACGTCACTTCCTGTCGCCAGGCCCAGGCCCTCACTTGGCGTTACTAAAAGGAATAAAACCATTGAAGACGGTGTGAATGCCAGACAAATTGCTATGCCTCGGCCAACAGCAACTGCCACAGCAGCAACAACAACAACATCCTCATCAGCATCAGCATCCAGCCCGGCTGTCATATTTCCACCAAAATCCCACCTCATTACCTCTGCTCACTATGTGACAATCATGCAAAGCATACCTCAGTTTCACTTAGTGGACATTCAGCACAACCATCGTCATGAGCAATGCAACCGACCAATCCATCTCTAATCACACAATGCCCATCTCCTCACTGCTCCACGCACCTGCCGTTGCCGCTGCCGCTGCCGCTGCCGCTGCTGCTGCTGCTGCTGCACCTGATGCCTCATCCGGATGCCGGCTGCCGGCTGCCGTCTGCACATCCGACATGCCCACCTCGGAGATCTGCAATAGCATCGCCATGGCCGCCAGCGCCGCATGTGCGGGCCACGTACTCCTTACTGTGCCACATACATGAATGCCTAATGCTACTGCGCATGCTGTCCGCACAGGCAGGTCTACCAATGCCTGCCAAGCATGACTGCTCTGCCACATGTCCCAATTCACATGCGCATCATGGACTGCGCAAAGCAACAACAACAACATGTACATACAATTGCATTGCCTGACGCACTGCTAACTACTGCTTCTGCTGCCTTCATCTACATATATGTAGGTGCAGACAGCGGGGCATGTGGATGTGCGCCTGCAGTATGCACAAGTTCCCACTTGCATCATACTGGTAAGAGTGGACAAACCTGATTCATGCGATACGTCACTTCCTGTCGCCAGGCCCAGGCCCTCACTTGGCGTTACTAAAAGGAAGAAAGCCATTGAAGACGGTGTGAATGCCAGACAAATTGCTATGACTCGGCCAACAGCAACTGCCACAGCAACAACAACAACAACATCCTCATCAGCATCAGCATCAGCATCCAGCCCGACTGTCATATTTCCACCAAAATCCCACCTCGTTACCTCTGCTCACTATGTGACAATCATGCAAGGCATACCTCAGTTGCACTTAGTAGACATTCGGCACAACCATCCTCATGCGCAATGCAACCGACCAATCCATCTCTAATCACACAATGCCCATCTCCTCACTGCTCCACGCACCTGCCGTTGCCGCTGCCGCTGCCGCTGACGCTGCTGCTGCTGCTGCTGCACCTGATGCCTCATCCGGCTGCCGGCTGCCGGCTGCCTTCTGCACATCCGATATGCCCACCTCGGTGATCTGCAATAGCATCGCCAAGGCCGCCAGCGCCGCATGTGCGGGCCACGTACTCCTTACTGTTCCACATACATGAATGCCTAATGCTACTGCGCATGCTGTCCGCACAGGCAGGTCTACCAATGCCTGCCAATCATGACTGCTCTGCCACATGTCCCAATTCACATGCGCATCATGGACTGCGCAAAGCAACAACAACAACAACAACAACAACATGTACATACAATTGCATTGCCTGACGCACTGCTAACTACTGCTTCTACTGCCTTCATCTACATATATGTAGGTGCAGACAGCGGGGCATGTGGATGTGCGCCTGCAGTATGCACAAGTTCCCACTGGCATCATACTGGTAAGAGTGGACAAACCTGATTCATGCGATACGTCACTTCCTGTCGCCAGGCCCATGCCCTCTTTTGGCGTTAGTAAAGGAATAAAACCATTGAAGACGGTGCGAATGCCAGACAAATTGCTATGCCTCGGCCAACAGCAACTGCCACAGCAGCAACAACAACAACATCCTCATCAGCATCAGCATCCAGCCCGACTGTCATATTTCCACCACAATCCCACCTCATTACCTCTGCTCACTATGTGACAATCATGCAAGGCATACCTCAGTTGCACTTAGTGGACATTCAGCACAACCATCGTCATGAGCAATGCAACCGACCAATCCATCTCTAATCACACAATGCCCATCTCCTCACTGCTCCACGCACCTGCCGTTGCCGCTGCCGCTGCCGCTGCCGCTGCTGCTGCTGCTGCTGCACCTGATGCCTCATGCGGCTGCCGGCTGCCGGCTGCCGTCTGCACATCCGACATGCCCACCTCGGTGATCTGCAATAGCATCGCCATGGCCGCCAGCGCCGCATGTGCGGGCCACGTACTCCTTACTGTGCCACATACATGAATGCCTAATGCTACTGCGCATGCTGTCCGCACAGGCAGGTCTACCAATGCCTGCCAATCATGACTGCTCTGCCACATGTCCCAATTCACATGCGCATCATGGACTGCGCAAAGCAACAACAACAACAACAACAACAACAACATGTACATACAATTGCATTGCCTGACGCACTGCTAACTACTGCTTCTGCTGCCTTCATCTACATATATGTAGGTGCAGACAGCGGGGCATGTGGATGTGCGCCTGCAGTATGCACAAGTTCCCACTTGCATCATACTGGTAAGAGTGGACAAACCTGATTCATGCGATACGTCACTTCCTGTCGCCAGGCCCAGGCCCTCACTTGGCGTTACTAAAAGGAAGAAAGCCATTGAAGACGGTGTGAATGCCAGACAAATTGCTATGCCTCGGCCAACAGCAACAACAACAACAACATCCTCCTATGCATCAGCATCCAGCCCGAATGTCATATTTCCACCACAATCCCACCTCATTACATCTGCTCACTATGTGACAATCATGCAAGGCATACCTCAGTTGCACTTTGTAGACATTCGGCACAACCATCCTCATGCGCAATGCAACCGACCAATCCATCTCTAATCACACAATGCCCATCTCCTCACTGCTCCACGCACCTGCCGTTGCCGCTGCCGCTACCGCTGCTTCGGCTGCAGCTGATGACTCATCCGGCTGCCGGCTGCCGGCTGCCGGCTGCCGTCTGCGCAACCATCATGCCCACCTCGGTGATCTGCAATAACATCGCCAAGGCCGCCAGCGCCGCATGTGCGGGCCACGTACTCCTTACTGTGCCACATACATGAATGCCTAATGCTACTGCGCATGCTGTCCGCACAGGCAGGTCTACCAATGCCTGCCAATCATGACTGCTCTGCCACATGTCCCAATTCACATGCGCATCATGGACTGCGCAAAGCAACAACAACAACAACAACAACAACAACATGTACTAACAATTGCATTGCCTGACGCACTGCTAACTACTGCTTCTGCTGCCTTCATCTACATATATGTAGGTGCAGACAGCGGGGGATGTGGATGTGCGCCTGCAGTATGCACAAGTTCCCACTGCCATCATACTGGTAAGGGTGGACAAACCTGATTCATGCGATACGTCACTTCCTGTCGCCAGGCCCAGGCCCTCACTTGGCGTTACTAAAAGGAAGAAAGCCATTGAAGACGGTGTGAATGCCATACAAAATGCTATGCCTCGGCCAACAGCAACTGCCACAGCAACAACAACATCAACATCCTCTTCAGCATCAGCATCCAGACCGACTGTCATATTTCCACCAAAATCCCACCTCATTACCTCTGCTCACTCTGTGACAATCATTCAAGGCATAACTCAGTTGCACTTAGTAGACATTCGGCACAACCATCCTCATGCGCAATGCAACCGACCAATCCATCTCTAATCACACAATGCCCATCTCCTCACTGCTCCACGCACCTACCGTTGCCGCTGCCGCTGCCGCTGCCGCTGCTGCTGCTGCTGCTGCACCTGATGCCTCATCCGGCTGCCGGCTGCCGTCTGCACAACCATCATGCCCACCTCGGTGATCTGCAATAGCATCGCCAAGGCCGCCAGCGCCGCATGTGCGGGCCACGTACTCCTTACTGTGCCACATACATGAATGCCTAATGCTACTGCGCATGCTGTCCGCACAGGCTGGTCTACCAATGCCTGCCAATCATGACTGCTCTGCCACATGTCCCAATTCACATGCGCATCATGGACTGCGCAAAGCAACAACAACAACAACAACAACAACAACATGTACTAACAATTGCATTGCCTGACGCACTGCTAACTACTGCTTCTGCTGCCTTCATCTACAAATATGTAGGTGCAGACAGCGGGGCATGTGGATGTGCGCCTGCAGTATGCACAATTTCCCACTGGCATCATACTGGTAAGAGTGGACAAACCTGATTCATGCGATACGTCACTTCCTGTCGCCAGGCCAAGGCCCTCACTTGGCGTTACTAAAAGGAAGAAAGCCATTGAAGACGGTGTGAATGCCATACAAATTGCTATGCCTCGGCCAACAGCAACAGCAACAACAACAACATCCTCATCAGCATCAGCATCCAGCCCGACTGTCATATTTCCACCACAATCCCACCTCATTACATCTGCTCACTATGTGACAATCATGCAAGGCATACCTCAGTTGCACTTAGTAGACATTCGGCACAACCATCCTCATGCGCAATGCAACCGACCAATCCATCTCTAATCACACAATGCCCATCTCCTCACTGCTCCACGCAACTGCCGTTGCCGCTGCCGCTGCCGCTGCTGCTGCTGCTGCTGCACCTGATGCCTCATCCGGCTGCCGGCTGCCGTCTGCACAACCATCATGCCCACCTCGGTGATCTGCAATAGCATCGGCAAGGCCGCCAGCGCCGCATGTGCGGGCCACGTACTCCTTACTGTGCCACATACATGAATGCCTAATGCTACCGCGCATGCTGTCCGCACAGGCAGGTCTACCAATGCCTGCCAATCATGACTGCTCTGCCACATGTCCCAATTCACATGCGCATCATGGACTGCGCAAAGCAACAACAACAACAACAACAACAACAACAACAACAACAACAACATGTACATACAATTGCATTGCCTGACGCACTGCTAACTACTGCTTCTGCTGCCTTCATCTACATATATGTAGGTGCAGACAGCGGTGCATGTGGATGTGCGCCTGCAGTATGCACAAGTTCCCACTAGCATCATACTGGTAAGAGTGGACAAACCTGATTCATGCGATACGTCACTTCCTGTCGCCAGGCCCAGGCCCTCACTTGGCGTTACTAAAAGGAAGAAAGCCATTGAAGACGGTGTGAATGCCAGACAAATTGCTATGCCTCGGCCAACGGCAACAGCAACAACAACAACATCCTCATCAGCATCAGTATCCAGCCCGACTGTCATATTTCCACCACAATCCCACCTCATTACATCTGCTCACTATGTGACAATCATGCAAGGCATACCTCAGTTGCACTTAGTAGACATTCGGCACAACCATCCTCATGCGCAATGCAACCGACCAATCCATCTCTAATCACACAATGCCCATCTCCTCACTGCTCCACGCACCTGCCGTTGCCGCTGCCGCTGCCGCTGACGCTGCCGATGCTGCTGCTTCGGCTGCACCTGATGCCTCATCCGGCTGCCGGCTACCGGCTGCACAACCATCATGCCCACCTCGGTGATCTGCAATAGCATCGCCAAGGCCGCCAGCGCCGCATGTGCGGGCCACGTACTCCTTACTGTGCCACATACATGAATGCCTAATGCTACTGCGCATGCTGTCCGCACAGGCAGGTCTACCAATGCCTGCCAATCATGACTGCTCTGCCACATGTCCCAATTCACATGCGCATCATGGACTGCGCAAAGCAACAACAACAACAACAACAACAACAACATGTACTAACAATTGCATTGCCTGACGCACTGCTAACTACTGCTTCTGCTGCCTTCATCTACATATATGTAGGTGCAGACAGCGGGGCATGTAGATGTGCGCCTGCAGTATGCACAAGTTCCCACTGGCATCATACTGGTAAGAGTGGACAAACCTGATTCATGCGATACGTCACTTCCTGTAGCCAGGCCCAGGCCCTCACTTGGCGTTACTAAAAGGAAGAAAGCCATTGAAGACGGTGTGAATGCCAGACAAATTGCTATGCCTCGGCCAACAGCAACAGCAACAACAACAACATCCTCATCAGCATCAGCATCAGCATCCAGCCCGACTGTCATATTTCCACCAAAATCCCACCTCATTACCTCTGCTCACTATGTGACAATCATGCAAGGCATACCTCAGTTGCACTTAGTAGACATTCGGCACAACCATCCTCATGCGCAATGCAACCGACCAATCCATCTCTAATCACACAATGCCCATCTCCTCACTGCTCCACGCACCTGCCGTTGCCGCTGCCGCTGCCGCTGCCGCTGCTGCTGCTTCGGCTGCACCTGATGCCTCATCCGGCTGCCGGCTGCCGGCTGCCGTCTGCACAACCATCATGCCCACCTCGGTGATCTGCAATAGCATCGCCAAGGCCGCCAGCGCCGCATGTGCGGGCCACGTACTCCTTACTGTGCCACATACATGAATGCCTAATGCTACTGCGCATGCTGTCCGCACAGGCAGGTCTACCAATGCCTGCCAATCATGACTGCTCTGCCACATGTCCCAATTCACATGCGCATCATGGACTGCGCAAAGCAACAACAACAACAACAACAACAACAACA